AAGTGTGGGATGTATGTGAGAGATGGAGTGTTTCGTGGATGTCGAGGGGGCGAAGGAGGCCCCGAATAGAGGTAGAGCAAGGTAGAGAGAAACTGGCCCTGGCTGGAGTACCTTAAGGCTAGACGCGGCGGCGCGGCGGCCGAAGGAACGAAATGGGCGCGAACGTAGCCGAGGAACAAAGAGAGGCGAAAGAAGGAGGGAGAAGAAACGCTCTTGGGCTCTTGGGCTCTTGGGATTCAGGTGTTGATGACCAGACACCGCGCCAGCGCGAGAAGCGAGAAGCGAGAAGCGAGGAGCGAGAAGCGAGAAGCGAGAAGCGAGAAGCAGCAACGAAGAAGGCGGCAGAAGCAATGCGCTGGCGGTGGCTGAAGGCGGGATGCCTTTCATCTTTTCATCTTTGTCTTCTACCTCCAAGGCTCTCTCGCTCACATCTTTCCGTCCAAAGTCCGAAGCGCGGCCTAGAGGCGGCTTCCTTGCCCAACGCCTCGATGCACATCTCACCGAAAACCCCGCAGCGGGAGCTCTCCTCGCTGTTTCCTACACATTTCCTAGACGTCCACTTCGGCAAACTGTCTGACGGGGAATTATCAAACGAGGAGGCTCCGGAAACCAATTTTATCGCATTAAACGACGTGGTGGTCGTCTACCAAAGCCTCGCGCTGCAATACTAACGCATCCTGCAACGACTCACGTATACATATACAATACGACGAAACTATACTATTTTAAATATCGCGATCGCGTTGATCAATGGAAAATATTAAAACTGTAAAATCCGAATTTTTCCCATTTATTTACCTAATTTTTTCCGAAAAATTGAATTGTGAGTGTTTTACTTTCTTTTAAAGTATGTACTGGAAATCCCATGTAGATATGTATCTGTCTGATGTTTGTTTTATTACGTGTTGATTATAATCAAGGCTTTGATAGTTTTGAAATTTAATACTATAAAGGTATGGGTCGCAAAATTTATAGACAAATATATATTTCTCATCTCGTGCAAATATATAGATTTCAAACAGATAAAAACAGATAAATATTAGGGACACTTTAGCTACGTTATTTAAATTAGCACTTTTACTATGTTCTAAAATTTTTTGTATATCTTTTTACATGCGATTCGCTCGACAACATTTTTGCATCAAATCATTTATCATACTTGTCATTGAAAAATTTAACCACTTTTATTTCTCTCTCTCTCTCTCTCTTTTTATCACGCAAAGGTATAAATATTATAAATAATAAACTGAAGAAAATGTAAAAGTAAAAAATTTGTAAGACATATTCGAATGATATACTTGTAACATAAAAATGGGTCGAAATCAAGTCTACAGAAATCTGAATAGAATTAAACGTGTGGTGGTTCACGAAGAAAGTTCTCAAGTGCGTTCGAGGTGGAAGAAACCCCGCGAGAGAATGTGCTCGTGAGGATACTCGCGTTACGTTACAAAAGATGGAGAGGTTAGCCGTGGCGTGCCGCGGTGAAATTAGCCGAATTCTCTTTCTTTGTCGAATCGTTTGAGGTTTTCGTTGCTTCCGTTGCGCCTTTTGTTTACTCGCAAACGCGAAAGCGCAACGAACTCTTCGCGTACAATGCGGATCCAATATATGTGTACATCGAGCATGGAATTTGGGCACGCAGCAGTTTAAGGCTGTTTCAGACGATATTAAATAATTTTCAAGTCAATTTTGAGACGACCTATTAAGACTTGTATATGTTTATCTGATTAATACATATATAACTGTATTTTTTAACTATAAACTATATTTAACTAACTTATGAGACATTGGCTCAAAATTTCTATCTTGTGACATAAATATTGTATGGCTTGGTTATTGTTTTTATCTGTGTGAATTTGTTCGAAGCTTTGTTGAGTCCTTACTTTTGGGTGACACTAATAGCACAAATAATAATCCAAGCGTGAACGCATAATATTCACAATCTACTATTAATTTAATTGAATTGATTGATTTTCAGCATTTTTTTATTCTCCCTCACGTGCCTCGATTTTTGTAACATTCGTGTTTGTTTTTAAATTTATCTAATATATTCTCTACGAGAAGAATAAGGGAGGCAGGCGCAACGAAATTCTCAATATTTATCTATATCTTTATCAATAATGAGTATTTATAAATACTGAGTGAGAGGCTTATAACTTCAGCTTTTTTACTAATTCTAATGATGTTGAATTAAGACAAGAAAGAATTAGTTATATTTTTTATTCCGATTTACTCGTCTATTCCTATGATAATTTTATATTACTAGGCTACGTCTTGGCTGAAAAGCAGGTTAAAGAAGTAGATGTCACGTTCACACTATATCTCTCGCGCGATGTTTCTACCTAAATATTTTACGGCGTGTACACGGTCAGTGCACGCTAAATATCGAACTACTAGTTGACGTAAATCCAACTACCGCTAGTCCAGATGACCTCTAGACGAGGGACTATACCTACCGACTTGTTTGCCGAGCACTGCCTTTAACGAGCTTTATTAATGATAATCGATTCGCGTACTTGTAGAGCGTAACGATTGATCATACGAGGTTGATGCGCCGCTGTTGAATACTATCGCGACTGCTTTGTCCATAAATCGTTCTCAATGGAAAGTAATAATGGCGCTCTATCGTGTCTCCATTATTTAGCCTCTTATAACGGTTGCCGGTCGCAATCTCTCATATAGTCGTACATTTTCGATATCGGCTTAATTTGCTTTCAGTCTCAGGATGTTTTCTAGAATCGAAATACGCGTGATCCCTGACTTTTCACAACCAGTTTCATTGCAATTTGATCAAAAAATTGACCGTTTGAGAATCTTCTACACAATATTTATACTATTTAAATTTTTGTGAACTTATTTAAAGAATATAGAAAATGCCTATATAATACCATTGATGAAATTATTACCAATCATGTATAATATTGATTTTTAGCGTTCTTTATGTGAAAAAAATAAATATAAATAAATATCATATATTTAGTATTTGTTGCAAACCTTCCTTGATAAAAGTTTCGAAAATTTATTGATTTAAATTCATAATGAACGTACACACAAAACACATGCATACCTTAATATGTAAAACGTATATTTCTCGTTCCTTTTCTATATTTAATAATCATTTATAACGCGATAGAAGAATCGACAAAAACTACTCCTCATTTTTTGTCCTATTCTCTTCTCATAATATTGTTAGATATATCGCAGGACGCGCAACGAGACCCACCAACGAGCGTGACTCGCTGAGGTAGTCCTTATTAAATCTTCCCCGTCTCCATTAGAGGCAGAAATTACGGATAATCCTTTTTATTACGCACGCTACACGGACTCCCATGGAAAGAGAGCGCAGAAAGGCAACCGGTACGTTAAAGAAAAAAAGTCGGGATGGGTCGCGGCCACGGTTCGACGCGGCATGGTGGTCCGCGCTTCCCATTCCCGACAACAAAGCGCTTTTAAACAATCTCCATTGTGCTCGTAATCCCGAGCCATGCGTGAAATCAACACGTTTTTCCACTTAATTGACAAACACACGCCTCTCCGTCCATGTGTTCCCGGCGAGCGCCCACCAAACATGACTTATATCGTAACATATTTCAAGTATATAACGAGTAATATAACAATGTTACTTCCAACTCAACTATTTCAAGCCGAAACGATTATATTTTACAGTAGGGAAAATCTTTTACTTTTAGACGGCTTCAGATATGTTGCGCTACAAGACATTCTGAAATACACTTAAGGATCTTAAGAAGTTTGCTAAATTCGCAACATTTCTTAAGAGACGGGCAGAAACTAATTTTGTTTCTCTCACGATATAAGTTTCTTTATAATAAACTCCATTTTAATGATTTCTACGTAAAATATATGCATTTGTAAGAAATTAATACAGTATACATTGAGAAAAAAATGCTGTTGATTCAATTAAAGTCTATATTATGGGCTGTCACTAACAAGTGATTAATTCATGTACCAATATTTTTATTATATATAAAGGCATAAATTATTATCTCAATAATCAAGGCCTTTATGTCAATAAAAATATATACGTACGAATTAATTACTTATGTTAGTGACAGCCCGTAATATAGACTTTAATTGAATCAATAGCATTTGTTTTTCAGTATAGGTAAGCAACTTGGAAAAATTATTTTGAGGATGACATATACAGATACTTATAAAATTCATTCAAAAGAGTAAAAATTTATAAATTTACTTTAATTATATGAATGATACAAATCGGTAATTTCTCGTCAATAATGGTAAGGATAGAAACATAGAGGGCAAGAATAAAAAAAAAACACTTATATGTATCACGTTATTCTACGTATATACAATAATTTATTTCGCTACGAATCGTTTCTACATTTACAAATCATTTTTGCTCGAGCGAGTACGAGTACAGAATATAGATGGATGCGACAATGCACGAATGCAACGAGCAGCCTCTTGTTTTACGGAGTGCAAGGCTTACAATTTAGTCGACGGTACATTACGCAAGGAAACGCATTTAGTAGCATTCCACGAAAATCTGAATAATGATGCAGTTCCAACTTTTGCAGATTTAATATCGAAACTATATAATTGAACAGTTTCTATAGAAAAGGAATCAAGTATCTCTGTGTCTATTTCGCGAAAGTAAAATATGTAGATTTTTTTAAGAATTTTATTTAAAGAGAAGAGAATATTTGATAAAGTCTCATGTTATAAAAATAATTTACAATGTAAATCTTAATCTACTTTTCTAAACCAAACGGTTGGTTTTCTCTAAAATTTAATTATAATAAGTTATATTAACCTACAAATATATATTTACATTTTTACAAAAAGACAGATAAATAAATAAAAATACCAATACTGAATGTTTGTTATTTGCTCGTTTCCCTGATTTATTATAAAAAATGAATGATACAAATTTTCCTGATATAAATATTCCCAAAACGCGAGGAAAATAGTTCCGTAAACTTCTAATTAATATTTAAGATCGGTATTTTTGATTCCTTTTGTATAAAATATTCCAATTAAATAGTTACACAGCACAAAACCAACTTTGAAATTCATATTTATACATATATGAATCTTAAAATTAGCTTTGCATTGTTAATTTTGTGTGCTAAACCTAACATCGGTATAGCTGTGCTCGCGCCCGCGTCTGCGCCTAATTGTTTAGAGATCGTCTAATTAGTTAATTACATAGGCGAAAGTCGCCGATTCGGGATATCGCAGTTGACAATAATCGATCACCTATACGCTCTCGTACGGTAGCCGTAAATTACGAATAATTCTAGCTAACTGCTCGCGAATAGTTTACTTCGTAAGTTTAGAGACCAAGCGACTCTCGTCTGCGGCGCACAAGACGAAAACCAATATCAGCAAGCAAAGACCCTCGATTAGAGAACGGCCTTTACAAAACGAGGAACTAACGTCGATTATCTACGATGTCTCCCTATATCTGCATCAGTCTGCATCGCATCGATTCGCGATGAATTGGACTAAAAAAAAAATCGCGTCGTAACCGAGCTCAAAAAGTATCCACGATTATCTCGTTTGAATCTCGTCGCGTTGCCACTGAATAAGATAGTATATAGATTTCAAGATGTCAGTAGTAAATAACAATTCTCGCGGACGCGTTCTCATAAATACGTTACACCTTCGCTTATCTAACAGAATCCGATCGGAATTCTTCGTATTATACATTACTAACGGCGGTAATCGTAACTTTCTACTTGGTACGTGTATATACGCGAACGCTGTATTCTGATTTGGGCATAGTTTCCCGAAGGATACCAGATAAATGAAGGTGAAACGTATATGCAGACGGCACAATATCCAGGGGACGTGGTAGAAGTGTCGAAAGCACACTCGGTATCTTTGAGCCTTTGAACATCTTCCATCCTTTAGACATCTTCAAGACGCATCATGAACTCTCGCGTCGTTCGGCTAATCCCTTCGATAACGAATTGATCGAGATAATGAAGAGAGTTCAAGTGGCGGTGCCATAAGACGGCCTCTGAACACCCGTGGTTGCGATCGACATCGAGTACCCGGCATAGAGCGGTCTTGGCACGAGGAGCGAGGATTTTTTCGCGATCGGCTCAACCTCGGTCAACCTCGAAGCTTCCTCGTCACCAACACCAACACCGACACCGACACCGCCGCCACCACCACTACCACTACCACCACCACTACCAGCACCACCAGCACCACCACCACCACCACTACCACCACCGTCGCCACTACCCTCGTTGTTGTCGTCGGGCGCGATGATGTTCTCGATAGTGAATGGTTTCTTAACCCTCTTCTCCGTATTCGTCGTCAAAACGACCTGGTCCTCACGATTGGAGGGCAACTGAGTTCGCTCGACCTCCACTGCCAGGCTCGAGATTGGCGACAGGTGGCGATAGGATGACTTGGACGTGAGCGAATTCGGGGAGGTGGGCGACGTCGGTGGCGACGAAGCGGTAGTCAGGGCGGTGTTTCGATAGAGATTTATTCTAGACGATGAGGACGAGGACGAGGACGACGAGAGTGGCTCTTCCTCGGCGAGTTTGTCGCGGTTGTAGCCCGAGATCTCATAAGTATTCTCACCCGTGAAAATCGTCTCGCTTTCTCTACCATGAGTAGCGGCGATCCCGTTCTCCAGAGCGCGGTCGCTCGACAAACGGCGCTCGTCCCGCATCTCCCGCGTCGGATGGATAGTCTGTCTACTGGCGGTAGTCTGCTGAATATACGGGAGCTGCGATACCGCGTACGATGGCGAAACTGCTGGAAAGCCAGAGAAATTCCAAGAAGCGGCAGAGTGCAGCAACGCAGCGGCCTCGTATGTCCTCAAAATCTCGTTACTGCCATCGGTAGCACCCCCCGCGAGTCTCTGTCTCACTTCGGGTGATAGTAAATAGTAGCCAGCGGTGACGGCTTCCGGCGCGGTTGGTCCAGCTGGTAAACCAGTGGTACCGTCGAATCGTCCGAAGCCGGCCGCGCCGGTGAAATCACCGTGATTCGAGGCTGTCGCGACCATCATTCGCCTCTCCTGTATCTCCCATCGGAGCAGATCATCCCGTAGACGATGAAGATTCGCCAGGCTGAGACCGTTGCCGGGACATGCGCTCGCGTCGACGATTCCGCCAGTCGACGCGACCGGTTCCGGATGCGGCTGCGGCTGCGGATGCGGTTGTGGCGGCGGTGGCGGCGGCGGCGGAGGTGGTAACGGCGGCGGCATCGCCGAGGCGAGCGCCTGCAGCTCGGACTTGAGCAGCTCCTTGTCCGGTTTGTGCAATTTGAACCGCTTCCGTCGGCGGAGGAGCGAACCGTTCTCGAACATGGACAATGCGGCGGGATGCAAGGCCCAGTAAGCTCCCTTTCCTGGCCGATGTGGACCGCGTGGTACCTGAAATTCAGTCATCCGACTTATCAACTTGCACAACTTGTGTCGAATCACGGTGTAATATACAGTGTAGGTACTCGAGGTACTCGATCTATGGAGAACAAAATTATAATATCGCGCAGTGAAAAGTTAATAATCTTTTTTGAAAGTGTTCCACGATAATGTACTTCCGTCCAAATCGATTAACTGAATTAACTCACATATTTTAACTACTTCAAAAGCAAAGATATATATATTGATCAGTAATTTGAGTACAAGGGGCTGCGCCCAATCAAAAAATAGAAATAGAAAATAGGAACAGGAACAGAGAATAAGAATTTCAACCCATGATCAGAAACCGTACGTATTCCATAGTGCGTTTTTGATTAGTTGAAATTCTTATTCCTTGTTCCTGTTCCTATTCTCTGTTTCTATTCCTTGATTGTGCGCCCTTAATCCTCAGCTTCAGCAATTCTATTTTCTACAAATAACTAGTGTACAAATAATCCTCCTATTTTTATGCAATGTCAAAGATATTTTGAAATAAATAGTTAATAACATATATAGCCGTCGATATCGCGATTTATCAAAGTTGTAATTTTAAACCATGTCGAAGACACTTTTGCAAAAAAGAAAGAAAAAGAGAAATTTATTTCATCGAATGAATTAATATATTGTTAATTTTTCAAACAGAAATGTTATATTAAAAAATTTATATTGAAAACTTTTGCAAGAATGATGATAGACAATATGTATCCATCAGATTACAGATACAGGTCACGTTATATAGATATCGCATCGATTCGATGTCAATTTTAAGTTTCAGTTTAGCTTTGACAAACTTTCCGTTTTATATTTCCAACGAAAAACGAACGAAATTGACGCTGCATTGGATTTATCATTGGTCTATCAAGTTTCACAAATATTTTCTTTATAAATAAATAAAGATTTTATATATAGAACATATTGCATCTATATATACACACACACACACGCACACTCTTCCTCTCGTGCATCGTAACTTAAAATTGTGCCTAATCGTATTGTAGTCACAAGTTGGACAGCTGCAGTTTTTCATGTGCAAAATGAAATATAAGTCTAATATAAACGAAAGCTAAGTATATGATATGTAATATTAAATTAAACATTGAACAAATAAACAAAAAACTGTATTCTTAACGATCATGACAAACGAGTATATCGGACACGATGCGGAAGACGTGGAATATTTCCTTATATCCTTATAGAATTGGCGAAAGTTGTATAGGAACGGAAAGTTCAGTCGCGTCGATTGGAAAACTCGGAATAATCGGTCTGAAACTAGGTCTGCGCTACTTTGGAATCCACGCTTTGATGAATACGCATTTGTGCAGGAGTTGCGCCTTAATTGATATCTCGATGAGCGATCGAGACAGAAGATGCTGGCAACGATGTCCGAGGCAATTACGCGCGCGATTCTCGTAAAGCACAATCGCTCGCACTGCACACCGAAGTGAGTATAGCCCCTGTTTTGCCCCTCTTGGCTTGGTGGATCGCCGATCGCGTGGAAAGCATCATCCACCTCGCCTAGCGTCTCCTCGATCGGCCGATGGCCGATATAAGACGCGGTCTTAGCGGCAATTGATGAGCTGTAGAGAGCCGGGAGAGCCATTACTTGCCAGGAACGAACAGGTTTTACATTTAATAACGCGAAACGATTATCTGCCGATCGGTTGAGTTAATTCGATCGGAAAGGCATAACCTGCTGCCGGACAGATCTCGCGGAGGGAAATATATTACCACCACTATTATTAGTACCACGCCTCGACGAGAGGTAGACGAGATCGCAGTCGAGCTGCATACGTTAATTCACTTAATTCTTTTGCGTCGCGTCGCGTCGCGTTGTGTCGTTTCTTTCCATCGTTATCGGCAATCTGGAATTTTTAATTATATTTGCGGGGGACAGAAAGAATTACGTTCAAATGCTCGAGCAAATTTGAAAAATTCATCTACCGTGCATAACAACGAATTTCTTCTTTCATCATTTATCAACAGTGACATTTTTGCGCTTTCTATGATGTAATACCGAAAAAGCGTTGTCGTATATACATATACTGCAGGATACTTAAATCATTTAAATCGTTAAACCTTTTAAATTATTGAAATTTTCCTATCAACAAGATACGAATACATTCATTATTTCTAGATTATACTTTATAGAGTAAAAAAAATTATTACTCGATACAATGTAATGTCATCGTGATAACGTACGTGTGTAAAATACAATACTTACTAGATCTTTACTGAGATACAGCTTAGTTTAAAAAGGACATTAAAAATGCTGTTTAAAAATCAAGGAATGCAGATAGAGATTTAAAATTTATACAATTTCTTCATTTTAATCAAGCTGAAATTTTATCTGCTGTTAAAACGAAAATTCTTTCTTTCATCTATAAATTATTTGACTAATTATCAACAAATGTTTTTTTCATATCGAAAACTGGACTTAAATGGACATCTTTTTATAACTTTTAACCAGTCCATATTTATGTTTTATTCTAATCCTGGTAAAATCTATATATTCTGAATAAAATTCATTTAACATGACGTAAAAAAATATAATTTTATTATCATTTTATACAAGAGAATAAATCCAAACGATTATTTTTGTAAATGTCATAAAATTTGACTAAAAAATTTGTAAAAAAAAGCAAGTAAATTTTCTGTATGAACTATTGTAATCTGTTTAATATGTTAATAGTATCGATTTTAATTAATTCATGATCAATTGCTTCTTCTAGCGTAAAATTTCTCGACAATTTCTCGCAGAGACATTATTGCTTTCCATCGTTTCCGCTCATAGTTTCACGCTTTCTAGCGACGGTGATTATTATTCGTTGTAAAACAAGGGTTCATATAGAATAAAATTTGCCAATCTGAATGGATCCAAATATTCTACTGAATTTCCCCCACGTCCCTTTTTTTATTCTAAAATTGACGCTTGTGTGTGTGAATTTTTCGAGTATTTGAAAAAGATAATAACTTTTGTACACACAAAACAGAAAGCAGTGATAAATAAATAAATTTCAGAATCGGAACTGTTTGAATCTTATGAGAGAGATATACATGATATATCTAATAATTAAATATATATTTTTTTATATAGTATTTATATTTTTCCACGTGTTTAATATATAATAGTACATTTTTTGTAAATTCTAAAGCTCTTTTTTTATGAAAAAACTATATGATAATTACAAAATTAAAAGTTAAAAATTATGTCTACAATAGTCTAAGGAGTTTAGATTTTAAGTCTAGTTTTCTCAAATTGCATCAAGCATTGAATTCTTAACAATCGATTGTGTATTATACAATCAATTAGAATCAAGATTGATTGTAGTCATTTATGTTACATTAGTTCATTATAACATCGTAATATTATAGTGAAAACATACTTGAATCATCGATATACGCAAGAAATACATATATGAGTCAAAGTTAACTCACGTATTATTGCAGTGTACTATGTTAACAAGAACATACACAAGTAGTACATAAACGTTTGCAATATTATTGATTATTGTGTGATTAGTTATCTTGCATCATTCTTGGTATTTAAACATTTTTCTCTATAATCATAAAATTGTAAGTGTAATACCCGTATCAGATTAGAGATTGAGATTAAATTTAAATCAATCAGAAAAAAGAAAAAACCAATTATATTAACTTTGGTGAACTTTATTTTGATTGGTCAAAATTTCAATCTCTATATAATCTGACATGGGATCTCTACATAATCTGACATCGCAGAGAAAGTTTGAACAAATAATACGAACTTAAATTTGGAACTCTTTAAAGATTTCGGACTGCACATTTTATGTAAACTCGTACGTGAAAATATTCCCTGATGCGTGACACACCGCGTATAAAATATTTTCATACCTATCATCGCGATTGTGGTCAAGTTTGTTTCACCCTGCAACACGGACGGGGTGTAAAGTTGAAAGTGATTCTACTGTGACGACTAAGGAACAAGAAACGAAAGGGGATCGACGTTCTTTCGTAATTTTGAGGAACCGCGAGAGAATGGAACGCGCCATGACGGTGGTCGCACACGTTGGCAGGTGCGAAACAGATGGCTCGATAATACAACAACCAAACACCTTGCGCGTTGCGCGTTGCGTTGTCGCTTCTCGAGACGTTCCCGGACGTTCACGTTGAAAAGGCGCACATCACGTCAATCAAAGATCCATTCCATCACGCTTCATTCGACAACCGCGATTTCGCGATATTACTTTGCAAGTGATTCATTAAAGCTACAGACAATATGAGACGTCTAGAGAGAAGTTATCTTTTACGCAAATTAGTAAATTAAATTTTATTGAAAATAAGTAGGTTTTCGAAAGAAGGATGAATACAATTGTCTACTTGCGATAGCTATTGTTCGGTCGATCAAGACTCGACAAGTTTCATCTCCGAGCGGACATCGATCGAAGTCGCAACATGGGATATATGGACTAACCTTGATGAAGCAATCGTTGAAAGACAAGTTGTGCCTCAAGGAGTTTTGCCATCGTCGCGTGTCCTTCCTGTAGTACGGGAAGCGGTCGGCGATAAACTTGTAAATCTCGGCGAGTGGCAGCATCTTGTCCCTCGACGACCATATCGCCATCGCCGTTAGCGATATGTAGGAGTAGGGTGGCTTCTGATCACCGTAGGTATCGCGCGAAGGTCGCGGCATTATCAACGAAGAGCAGTGAAGTCTGTCTGTTTCACTCTTTCCTCTTGAACAAACTGTGTTCTTAGGTGTGAACACTCGACACTTTGCACGAGGTTCGCCGATACTCGCGCGCCATCAGCATCCTCCGTATCCTCGCGGAGCGGCAGGAGCACGGGGTAGGCTGCTGCTCTTGGTCACGAGCGGAGACGGAAATTTCCATCGGACCCAACCACGGAGATCCGCGGCCGGCCGAGGCGAGCGAGGTTCGACCCTGATGTACCCCACGCTGTGTCACGGTGTATCACAATCTGGAGGATCTCCAACCAACACTGCCGTTATCGGGCGCCGGCGGTGCCAGGCGATGCCAGGCGGTGATCGCCGTGATCGCCGTGATCGCCGTGATCGGTTACTCGAATCCGTATTCGCGCCGGCGACGGGCGAGGATCCCCGAGCACACCCAAACACACCGAGTACCCGCGATCGCGTCTCCGCGGATACTGCGACCGATCCATACCCACACCCCCGCAACGGGCTTCCCCTACCTGCGAACCCATGGCTCCACCATGTCCCGGATTGGAGCCCGCTGTGTCTCACCTTCTCGACCGGTCTCGCTCGCGCTACCAGCAACCAGCAGCAACCACCTCCGTCCAATGGTACGATAGCTCTCCCACCTCGACGGTTCCGGATGGACGACCGACGCGGCCGGCGGCGTGGACGCGAAAAGAGCGTCCTCCATCGGTTCCGAACGGATTCCGAGAGGCGGAGCTCTCGCGCGAATACCATTTAAAGTCACCTCCCTCGAACAAACAGGAACAGCCGAGTCTCGACCAATCCGATCGAGTTACCACTGGCTGCCCTCGCCCACCCGGCCCACCGCTACCCGTGTCTCGTCTCGTCACCCGGACACCACCGCACCACTCACCAGTCGCCTGCCTACCAGCCCCTGCAGGACTCCCGAACGCCACCGGCTACATTAGCCAGCCACGAGAACGAGAGAGAGAGAGAGACCTCTGTCTTTCGCGTCGATCGATTCACGGCGCGCCGCCCGGCGTTTCGTTCCAAGGATTGAAACCAGTGTAATTTTATCGAGTCTAATCCTCTCGAACAGCGAAATGTTTGATAATCTGGCCGACACCGAGTCTCGAGCTTTCTTTGGTAATTCTCGAGTAAATATATCTTTATAATGTATGAGATATCTAAATGCGAAAAAAATAGTGAAATATTCAGTTAAGGAATATTCTCCAAATATAAATAAATCATATTTGTTTTATTTTTTAATGATTCAGTTTTACTGGAAGCAATCAAGATCTTTATGCTTATTTATAACGACTTCTTAAAACGACGACATAATTTTTATATCGTTGCGCAAATAAGTATAAGCTGCGTTCAGTAAAAAAAAGCAGCATTACAACTGTTGTAAAATTCTTTAATCAATTGGTCTTGTTCTTACTCTCTCACTGGACCTAAGAGTATAAACCATCAATAATATCAAAGAATCTTACAACAATTACAATTGCAAACTGTTTTTTTACTGCATTGAATGCAGCCAATATATGTATATGCATATAATATGTCAGAATGAAAATGCGACATTGTCGTTTGAAATTATGTAAACAATTATAACTATAGATCGCAACTCGCAAAGATTCGAGTTGAACAAAGATTAATTACCGATAGTAGAGCTACGTGCAAAGTAAAACTTTGTTGCTCGTGAATAAACGTATTATTATTAATTATTATTGCGTGGTTCCAATATCCGAAATTGTAGATATATCTGTCATTTTGATCTTTGCCTCGCTGAACCACGTGAGCGCGACTGTAAATCTCGAATGTGCTGACCGCGCGCGTTTCTGAGTACCATTAGCAAAATTGTACTGTTCATCGAGAGAGAGAGAGAGCTCGGGATCGATCTTTTCCTAGTTAGCAAGATCTAACCCAATCTTTCTCGATCGGAGACCGTGCCAACTTTACAGGTGAAGAAGACGAGGAGGGAGAAGATAAACCAATCGGATCGAAGCACTTGCCTCGCTCGAAGTTTGCTGGCGAGAGGCGTGTCGCTACGCCTCGTGCCTCGCCGACAAAATGGCAATTCTTGTTGCGCGTAATGTACACTAATACTTTAACTAGATATTCTTCGGAAGAAACGTATCGCGTCTGCATAGCCATGATTCTTCATTACTTCCATTAAACAAATATATACTACAAGCATTTCCAAGTAATGCGTATGATAATAAATAATTAAGACGTGTCATGCCATGACACGCCAAAATAAGTGCTTTAATTCTTTTGAGATAACTGTTTCATAATATTCGTCTTTCAAAGTTAAATAATAAATATATTTAATAATAAGTTGGTAATAAATATACATATACATGCATCATGCATTTTACATCGAACGAAAGATGTATTTTGATCTTTCTTTTATGAATTTATAGCAAACATAAATTAATTAGAGCTTTTTCCGTAAATAAAATTTTGGGAGAATTTTAATTTGATAATTTAATTACCAAAATAATAAATAGTGTCGAAAATCGAAAAATTGAGCTATAATATATAGATAAATGATAATCGCCCTTGTGACACAATTCTACTAACAACGAGGAAAAATTGACTCTTAGTTATTTATATCTCAAACGGTTGAGCTTACAACCTATTCATGAAGGTTTTTTTACATTATATACACTATCTATCATATAATAAATGCTAAATGGTTTATTTCGTATATTCTATAATTATATATAAAAGACAATAGACGATATTTGAAGAATAAGTGATAATAATTTATCATAATTCCAGCAATATTTCTCGTTAGTAGGTATTAGCAGAGATTTATACTCTTATATACAATTATTTTTAAACAGAATTGCGGATGCAATTTTTTCAATTTGGTTTTTTAATATAAAACATGGCAAAACTCTTTTTTATTTTATAAGGAACTGTAGAATTATGTATATGAAAAATGCTAGTGAAACTGTCATTATTGTGCATCATTATTGCTTTCATTATAGGTACCTATATTGTGCATCATTATTGCTTTCATTATAGGTATTGATAAAATGTTGTACTAACATCACGGATAACTAAAAGTGCAGGGATCAGTGAAGTCAGTACGCGACATTCTATAATATTTAAAAAATAATGACAGTTTTATAAGTAGCACTTTTTATAGTTCTCATACAATTTCTTATAAAAATAAAAAACAGTTTTGCATAGTTTATACTATAATTATAATAAACCAAAATAAAAAATATGGCCTGTTAACTTCGCGAATCTATAACATGATATTATTTCCCTCTAAAGTAAATATAAGAAAAAGATAAATAATTCCACTTTTAATTACTGATCCCGTTAGTACTACTCGGATTCTGTCAATATATATAATTTAAAAACAAAATTTCAACAATTTTAATACACTTTAAATGCTGGATGATAAAAGAACCATTCAGCATTTGTATATGGTAATATTCAGTTTTGATACTAATATACAAAATTGTTTAATTTTATAGAAACGGTTGAGTTGTCGACCTATACACATACATATAATATGTTCACTATAAGGCTTTTTTATTCAGTAATATGGTGTGTACTGTCTACCATCATATAAATATTGAATGATTTTTTTTAAATTCTGTATAATTATAGAAATTTAATACTAATACTGATGATCAATTAATCATTTATTTTTAGTATTAAAAGTATTGTTAACAGTATTTTTAATACTAAAAATAAGCGATTAATTATGGTCAGTGCTAAATTATTATTACTATTATTAATAGCAAATTATTAGTATTAAATTATTAATATTAAATTATTTCTATAAGAAATGTATACTATATTTAATTTTTTTTGCACATGATTATAATTTTATACATATTTCTAAGCGTTTCATTATGTTTCTTATACTTCACACAAGTTGAAAACAATTCCCTCGAAATAAAATGTACAGTAACTACTTATGCCAAATATAGTGTAATAAGTTAAAAATTTTTTAAACAGAATTGCGGATGCAATTTTTTCAATTTGGTTTTTTAATATAAAACAGCTCGTAAGCATCATTTGTCCTTATTTAATATTGATAGATAACAAGGATGAACTGATGCTTACGCAGCATATGAAAACGGAATGCACCCATAAAATCACCAATCGAATTGGAAATACATATACATTATATAATTTGAACTGGATAATCGTTTATCAAAAAGATCAACTTAATCTAATTTAATTTTTGTAAATTTATTTTTTAATTTCTTTATTTATTATTCTCTTCTTTTTTAGATATTAAAAATTTACAAATGATATGATAGTTGAAATATTTAAATCCTTTCGAACTTTAATAGTAATAGTACAAACATGTTCATAATTCCATCCATACAATCATCTTGTTGAAAAATTCAGCTTCGTAAAAAAATCTTAGTAAAAAAAGAACTTTATGTTCACAACAGTGGAATTTTATCTTTTTTTTTTTACAAAACTATTTTAATACAAAGTACACAAATATTTTGGTATAAATGAATACCTGTTGGAAATAACCTGATGACACCTGTTGGAGATAAACTTAATTTTTGCAATTACTACTTTAACATATAGTGATAAAAAGATTGTATTTAGGGATTACCGACAGAATGTAATAAAATTTTGTCAGACTGAGAATTATATTTATTTTCGTTTGAGGACGCTCAGATCGCGCTTGTTTCTCACACAATAGTAAATATAAAAAAATAATAGAAATATTTTATATTATTAAATTATATTATGCAAGAGATATTTTAAACTTTTTATAAACCCGAGGACTCTTTTATTCAATTAAGGGCACCCTCCACGAAAGAAATGATGAAAGAATAACGAAATTATGCTTTTGAGGTGTTCTACTTGACAGTGCAATTTGAACATTTGATTCAATAAAAGATAGAATTCAGAGATATATATACTTTGTGGAAAATCTACAACGCGTATATTTAACAAAGAATAAATAATGTACATTATACAGCATATCATATATATTATCATGCATCAAGTCGCGATGGCTTGAGACCTAAGCGATCAATTAT